AAAAATGTAACACCCTTACAAAGAATGTTATAAACAAACAGAAGTCTAGCAGGCCTGAGGGTCTTTAATTAGTTTTATTTTTAACTGTAATAGACACCACAGTTCAGAAAATTGGATTTCGATGGTTTCTCTGATGATGTAGTTGCAAGGAAGAAATAGGGCGATGACCTTGATCAAAGTATATATTTCAAGAGCAGTCAGATATTTCAAAAGCCATTTTGCTTTTAGAATTAAATTTAATTGTTCCTTTTTTAAGAATATAAGTACTAGACTCACAGCTAAGATACTGCCTTCTATCAACTTCTCAACATTTATGTAGAATTTTTTGTACAAAGCTACATTCTACTTCCTTTTAGTCAGAAGCTATGTAGCTTATGTATTCAATCAGTCCAGTAATAAGAAAAAAATTTATTAAGCAAAAAATAAGGATCAAGAATAATTTTGATCAGATATATCTAGATAATTGTTCAAAAGTCATTTTTGTTTCAAATCTCTGAAAAATTCACAATCTAAAGCCATCCCATTTGTCATTTGCTTATGTTCTTGAAGATATTAAATGGGCAGATATTATTTTTAAATGACCTTAATTTAGATATTTTATTTGGAGAATTTAGAATTATATTACTAAACCAAGAGGGAAACAACTTATAATTATTTGTAAGATGGATACATTTATTGTCCTATAAATGCTTTTATTTTCAAAGCACATTTACATGAATATAAATTATTTCCTTCAGATATGGTTATCATATATAAAGAAATGAGCTTGAAAGTCCTGAAATTACTGAACTTCATAATAATATAACTTTTAAAGCCAAGTTATTGCATTTTAATTATATACTTTTTATAGAGAGAAACTAACTGGAAATTCTAATAACTAATTTTGAGTTCTACAAATTGTAGACTTTATATTTGCTCCCTCCTTTTTTCCTACATGCTAAAAACATGAAATGAGATAGTAAAACTTTGTGTTCATTTAAAGTGACAGAATATAGGAGACTTTAACAGGATTTTGAAGTATCCTATAAAGCTTCCGACATCCTGGGAATATCTGTTTGCTATAGAACGTTTGTAATTTGAAGAATTTAGTTTCCTTGACCTATTAGACTAGAAAATGAAAAGAAGTAAGTAAGCCCTTTTTAAAGATTTAATATTGATTTGTATACATGAATATAGTCAATAAAAAGTTGAGGAATTCTATATAAGTAGTAGAAAGTTAAACAATTATTACATGAATATGTAGACCATGAATTACTAGAAAATTGTTTTTAGATGTTCAGATTCCCTTGGGGGAAGTAATCAAAGGGTCAAAGAGCAGTAGAGAGCTTGGGGAAGGCCATTCAAAGTGACACACTTCAGGCAGACATAGGTCGGGTCACAGAGATTTGGCTAACACATTCATAACCTAGAAGCAGACTGTACCAAACCAGTCTGCTCACTCATCATTTCCGGAAATATCCAGGTAATCAAGATGGAGATATTTTTGGATATTCTCATTTGTGTTCACTGACTCAATATGAAGAAAATGGCCTTAATGTCTTAAGTTCAATTAAAACCAACATCACTATACATGATCTATCCAGCTCTGATCTCAAACTTCAAACAGAGAAGAAGGAAGAGTCATTGAACTTTAAGTTCATTTGTCAGAGGGGGATCCAAATACAATAAAAGTGGAATAGTTACATTCCTAAACTTCTTTTTCAGAATATTCAACTCATTTGTAATTATTTATTCAATACCTTTCTTTAGATGGTAAGCTCCATGAGCAAAAATACCTTGTTCTTTCTTTTTTTAGAATGTAGCACAATTTCTGGCATATAGCAATCATTCAATAAAAGGTTGCTGCTCCTGCTAATGATGACGAGGATTCACATTTTCTATATCCTAACTTCTTTTTCTTTTATATCTTTTCCTTCTTTTATATTTTCACTAATTACTTTCTCAATCTATTAATAAAGACATTAATGTAAAACTAGAT